TTTTCGCTCTTACGGTTCTGCAAGTCAAGTGCTGAGTATTCACTTAAAGGGCTAATGTTCACTGCGAATTTCTGAAGCTACGCTCTACGGAGCACTCTTCTCAAGTGTGTGTGTGTAACCCTTGGAATCACAGGGATCCTTTCGGATTGTTTTGTTTTGCTTTTGCTTCCGATTTTTCAGCAGGGGGCCCATGGACACTTGGATGGCATGGGCCAACGAAGACCCATCCAAGCTGTCGTGAAAACGTGCCTGCTTGGTGCACCTGGGCGCATTCTAAGACGCAGCGGGTGGCCACCTTTCTTCCTTTTCTTTTGTAAAGCGCTAGTGCATCTGCAGATGTGAGCGGCCGTCGCCACCCTGTCGTTTCGACTTCGACTTGCGCGTTTGGCCCCACTTCCTTTTGAAGACCCCCAGGCCCTTTAGGATTGTCCTGGGCCTTTCAGGATTTGGGTTCTTAGGCCGGCGTGTGGCACCGCATTCACATCAGTACGCATACCCATAAGTGTGTCTCTCCCAGTGAGAGTCCGGGATGAGCCCGCAGAGTGCCTCCCGTGGACCCGTTGAACGGGGGTTTTGTTTCCCTTGCTTTGGAAACGTAAGTGCCCACAGCGGGCGAAGGTGGCCTAGGCCGTACGTACGATGATTTTTGTCTCATCTTTGGAATTCCAAGTTGGCTCATGCCTTTACGTGACCGCAGCGGTCAAAGCAGCCAGCCATTTCGGCAAGGCACAAGGTGACCACAGCGGTCAACGCCAGTTTTAGGTTCATTGGAACCTGTCGGCGGCTTAGGTGCACATACATCGTACACACCTTAAAGAGGCAGGTCTTCCTAGGTTGTTATAATGAGGTCTGGCTTCATCGGTTCCCGTCCCCTCCATTTGGTTCCCCTTGCACCCTTTCCCCTTCGCATACTTCTTTTCCTCTTTCTTTTCATGTCTTCCCTTGCTTCATGTCCTTTCATCTCATTCCTTTCGTTCTTTTGCGCGTACAACGGTCCGGGCCTTAGTGTGTACGCGCACATCTACTTTCAACTCAGGTGTTAGGTCGCCCAGGTCTCGACAATGAGGTGGGTTTCATCGGTTGTCCCTGTGCACTTGGTTTCTCTTTCATCGCAACCACACACACACACTCTTGCCCCGTGTCGTCTTCCTTCTCATGTCTTCATTCTCTTGTTTTTGCTGCGCGCACATTTACACTTGTGTCCTAGCCTCAATTTTGCACCCCCTCGGGGAGGCGTGTGTGTGTAACCCTTGGAATGACAGGGATCCTTTCGGATTGTTTTGTTTTGCTTTTGCTTCCGATTTTGCAGCAGGGGGCCCATGGACACTTGGATGGCATGGGCCAACGAAGACCCATCCAAGCTGTCGTGAAAACGTACCTGCTTGGTGCACCTGGGCGCATTGTAAGACGCAGCTGGTGGCCACCTTTCTTCCTTTTCTTTTGTAAAGTGCTAGTGCATCTGCAGATGTGAGCGGCCGTCGCCACCCTGTCGTTTCGACTTCGACTTGTGCGTTTGGCCCCACTTCCTTTTGAAGACCCCCAGGCCCTTTAGGATTGTCCTGGACCTTTCAGGATTTGGGTTCTCAGGCCGGCGTGTGGCACCGCATTCACATCAGTACGCATATCCATAAGTGTGTGTGTGTGTGTCACCCCCTGTACCGAAGGGTTCAATGCCACGGTTTACTACTACAACCACTCCATGAGGCAGGGGATGGAGACGCCTGTATTGCTTCTCCATCAACGAAGCTGGCAATACATGGTGAGGATATCAGTTCCGGACGCGGAACTGACGTACCTGCTACGAGAACTTTTCTGCAAGCTGTGACTCCACTCCTTGTTTGTTTCCATGGTGGTTCCACACGATACCTTCCCCACAAACAGGTTTCCCACCGCAGTTTTCAGCCGCTTGTGCAGTGCAGCCGTCCGCCGCTCGCCCGCTGCTGTCGCGAGTCTGCAGATGCGCACAAACCTTGTGTTCAAACACCTTCAATTTGATCGGACTCTTCACCTTGCCGTTGAGCCACTCCTTTTCTCGGGAAATTGAGTTAACTGAAAACCAATGTCAGAGTGTGTTTCGCTCAGCCGTCCCACTCGGGTGCTGAGTGTGATCCCCGTCACTGGGGCGCTGAATTCATGCCGGAAATCGTGTAACTGAGCTTTTCCACCTTCACCGGAATTCACCACTGGACCCACCTTAACTGAATTTACTGCCTCCACGGCCGCCGGGCCAAAAAACGGGACATCAGCAGCTACCACCCTGCATCAGTTTTGTATCAGCTTTGAACTCTATTTTTCGTGATTTTCTTCCTCAAGCTGAGCGATTTGATTCATTTCGAACGCTTAATTCGACTTGCATGGACTTACCACTTTTCACTTCACAACTTCCACAACTACCACTTTTACGCTACATTAGCCGGTTTTTGAAGGGAAAAAGCGCCGATCACGGCGATCTGTGTGTGTCACCCCCTGTACCGAAGGGTTCAATGCCACGGTTTACTACTACAACCACTCCATGAGGCAGGGGATGGAGACACCTGTATTGCTTTTCCATCAACGAAGCTGGCAATACATGGTGAGGATATCAGTTCCGGACGCGGAACTGACGTACCTGCTACGAGAACTTTTCTGCAAGCTGTGACTCCACTCCTTGTTTGTTTCCATGGTGGTTCCACACGATACCTTCCCCACAAACAGGTTTCCCACCGCAGTTTTCAGCCGCTTGTGCAGTGCAGCCGTCCGCCGCTCGCCCGCTGCTGTCGCGAGTCTGCAGATGCGCGCGAACCTTGTGTTCAAAACGCCTTCAATTTGATCGGACTCTTCACCTTGCCGCTGAGCCACTCCTTTTCTCGAGAAATTGAGTTAACTGAAAACCAATGTCAGAGTGTGTCTGTGTGTTTGGGGGAAACGCCTCGTGAAACTACACTTGCTTTGTGGGTCTTTGTCCACGAGGGAATAGATTGGTATATCCGTTTCGGTGGCGCTACCCGCTGCCCATGTGCGCGCTGCCGCTCTTATTTTGGAGGAACCTTGCACTGCACTACCCATGTTTTCCCTGAGGGGCCATGGATTGCCTACATCTTGCCACTTCGTCGTTGGAGCTGGGCAACTTCACGAGGTGGCTTGTGGTGGCTTGGCCCCTATTGCCTATTGTCATTATCCTTGGTGGCTTTTGTATTTTCTGCAATTATATAATAGCCGTCCAGCCCCTCCAGTCCAAACCATTCAAACCCGGAACGTTTTCACAACTGTGAAACTGAAGACGCGCAGCAGTGACTTAGGTGGCGGTGGTGGCCGATGGCACCTTCAATGCACATTCCTTGTTTGCGCAGCAAAGTGCTTTAGCTGTTCTGGAAGACATGAATGCCATTGCCCACGACAGCATCAACCAGGCGAAAGGGTCACGAAACTTAAAGGTGTCCATGGTGTCCATCGTTTCCAGGTGCCAGGCTTAAAAAACAACAGAACGCACAATGCTTGCGCACGGTGCGCGCCATTCTCCTGAATGGCTCACCTGCATAAAGGCAGGCCTTGTGTAGCACGTTGTCTCTATGTGCCTGTCATGTTTCCTTGTTTCACTCGTGGCGAGTCCAAACTTCACCGCTGGTGAGTATTTAGCTTCACATCGTGTGGCTGTCTCAGAGAATGTGCTTACCTCCACCCGCCGGTTGTGCCACCCATGCTCCAAGGCCTTGGGTTATTTCTGCATACTGGCTAGCTTGGTTGCTCAAGAAGGGAAACAATGGGAAAAAGGAAAGCAAGGATAGCCCTGTGCAGCTGAAAATGACAATCCTTTGAGATCCCGACTAGCAACACTAAAGCCCTCAGCCACCCAATATATATATATATAATATTTATTTTATATATTTACGTTGATTTGTATATAACATAAATATATACACATATATAGTTTGCTTGATTTGTTTTTTGTGGCTCGGGGCGGTGCTTTTGAGCTTCTTTCGGAGGTCAGGATTGTGGCAGCAATTGTCGAAGTCCAACTGTCCAACTGCATGTAATAGCGATTGCGATGGCCTCCAACCTAATAGCGATGGCCTCCGACTCCAACCAATAGTTCAGAACTGTGTATCAAAAGGACAATGTCTCCTAGATTCAGTGTTGTTTCTTGCACACTGCTTGGTGCAGGCACGCATGACATCATCTGTTGTTTTATTCGTTGTGGGCTTCATTTTGCTTGTGATCGGAGCGCTGCTTGCTTGGTGCATTTCAGAGCCCATGTTTCAATTGTGCAGCTTGGTAAAGAACCTCATCAAACTCTTGCCGCTGATTCTGCTTCACGTTTTAGACATGCCACTTGCTGGTGTGACCATGTCACACTGGGATCTGAGGCAAGCAAATCCAGCAGATGGATGACTTTCAAGGAATTTTACCCGAGTTATTCGAGGTTTCGGCGCACTTTCTGCTGTATATTTACTGAGTTGTTTCATGTTTTTGTTTCTGACTCGGCCTTGAGCACATCCATTGTTTGCTTGTCAATTCCACCACCACAGACACCCATTCATAAATGCGTGAAAGTACCTGTACTGAGGTGCTAGGTCCTGTTGAGGGCTGCAGAGGGTCCTCACTGAACATGAAGCACAACGGGTGGTATTTGTGGGGCAGGACTATCAGCTGAATTTATTCAATCCTTACGTTCACTGCCCTGCAGGTTCCTAACTACAGTGGCTTTGGCATCAAAGATGTCGCAGATGCCCACCGTGCCTTCCGAGACCTGATGCACAGTGTTGGTGCTCCAGGGTCACCCCCGTTGCCTGGGAAGAGTGCACATGAAGACAGAGATGTGTAGAGAAAGACATGTCGAGTTTGTCAATCTATTTTGGTACTTATCTAGGCTCATTGCGGTAGACTGATAGACATGTGCAGTTTGTGATGTGCTCAAGGCCTTTGGCCTCAGGGTCACTCGAAGTTTGATTCTGCGATGCTGTATAGCTATATAGCCTATTATATCTATTATATAGCTTTGCCCATTGCTCTCAGCTAGCGGAGGCGTACCTGGCTCAAGGCAATAAGTCGCAGTCAAGTTTCACCGTTGCGCTTGCCGACAGATGCTTCGCAAAGAGCAGACCGTCGGTGGTGCAGGTTTGGATTGGGGGAAGCTCGTCTTCGGCACACGAGTGGACACACATGGCTTCATCAAGCACGTGTGGCGAGATGGACAATGGGATGAAGGTGAGATGGTTGAAGAGCCGTATGTGAAAATGCATGTTTTGGCGAACGTTTTCCACTACGGGCAGGCGATCTTTGAGGGGCAGAAGGCCTTTCACTGTAAAGACGGGAAAGTTCGAATCTTCAACGACAGGATGAACCATGTCAGGATGAGCAGAGGCGCTGAACGAATGGGAATGCCCACCATGCCAGCAGAGATGTTCCAAGCAGCATTGACCCGCGTGGTGAAGGCGAACTTGGACTTTGTTCCGCCCTATGGAAGCGGTGCTTCGCTTTATCTTCGTCCATTTATGGTTGGAAGCGGGCCACAGCTAGGCCTGGGTGCCAGCTCTGAGTATACCTTCATGGCAGCCGGTCATTGAGTTGTTTGCTGATACCATGTATTGTTAATGAGCAGCGTGTTGAGTATCTCTTTAAATCTAAGCTGCACAGTAAGTGTGTTACCAAGGTAGTTGCGTCTCCGGTCGGGCCATACTACGGCTCGGCTGTCCCTGCCACTGTCGTTGAAGATTATGACCGGGCAGCACCAATGGGTGTTGGCGCAGTAAAGTGTGCAGGAAACTACGCAGCAGATATTGTGCCTGCCGCCAGGGCTAAGAAGCAGGGATTTCCCATTTGCCTTTACCTTGATGCCAAGGAGCACCGCTACGTCGAGGAGTTCAGTACATCCAATTTTGTTGCCATCACCAAGTCAAATGTCTACTTGACACTTAGAATGCCCAATTTGCTGTTTATGTTTGTATGATTTTGTATGCAATTGCAATTTCGTCCCTACTGAAGCTGCAGTCCAACATTTTTGCTAAGTGGTCGCTTGGGCCAAGGACACCAGACTCCCAATCAGTCTTGGATTCGGTGACGAATAGTTGTCTCGAGAAGTTGGCCGCAGACATGGGCTTGACAGTTGAGCGGCGTCGCATTGATTTCGATGCAGAGGTCGCAACTTGGCATGCCAGGTTCTAGACTGGGCAGCACCTGTATTTGTATAAAGTTCATTTTTGTCGGAGATATTGTGGAGAGAGGCACGTCGTTAGCCTTTGCTTCAAAGTAGTTAGAACTTGAACAGTGCTACAAGTGTTCAGCAGTCATTCGGGAATGAAGTGTGAAGACAGAAGTGAAGTGCGTTGGCAAGCTTTGGCATGCAGTACTGTCATACCAAAGCAGTTCATTTGTCGAGATGCCTCAGGCAAGTTTCAAAGAGGTCGGGGCAGTTGGCACAGGAGTTGTGATCACCGTCGTCCAGTCCATTCAACAGGGCGACAAAGTCCACAACTTCGAACAGCAACTCAGCAAACTAACGTGCCGGATGTGCCCCCAAAGAGCAGACATGCAACATCATATTTGCGTATTTGTACATTTGTCGACCTTGGTTAGCATCCCCGAAGCCCAAAGAAACTCTACATGTGTACTTTGTGTTCATTTCTGCTTCTCCTTGGTCCTTGATCCCCTGCTGCTGTTGAGCTAGCGTGATGAGATCCACCTCAGAGCCTCAAGAGTCAGTTTTTTTGGTGTTGCTTGGCTCCCCAATCTCTAAACATATGCGTGGAGAAAAGTACGTGCGGCTTAACATTTCCTGTCAAAAATACACAAAAAATACCTCGCGACCTCACCAGCATGTGGCAACATTGGTCGAAATTGGATTCCTGCATGATATCGTGTAGTGAGGTCTAAGTGAAGTAGGGTTTTCTTCTTGCTTGGCATGCCTTGAGATTAAGGTAAATTATTATTGGCCTAGAAAACAACGTGCTTGCCTCTGCCTGGATCTGCATCTAGGATCTGGCACTGTGAATGATCACTCTATGAATCTCGTAGAATCCCTGCATGTTGGCAGAAGTTCCATGCCAATCCGGTCTTCAAAAATTGTAAACCTTGCGACATAGTATTGCGGTGCCCCTGTCGCTCAGTCAGTAGGTCTCACTGGAGTTTTTTTCCCCAAACAGTTTACTGTTAGGGGTTCTCAATTCTTTCTTAAGATGTGTCCGCCCTTTCTGTCACTGCTGGTGTCCGCTGGCCATGCAGCATTTCTATTCATTTGTCTCCATTTCTTTACTTGTATCTCCCAGGTTCGGTGCCTGCACTGCTAGTGTCCGCCCTTTTCCGCTGGCCGCCCCTGCAGCATTTCTATTCATTTGACTCCCATGTGATTTCTTAACTTTTTCCCCAAACAGGCTGCTGTTAGGGGTTCTCAATGCCTTCTAAGAGTGTCCGCCTTGCTGCGGGACAGCGTGTCCGACTTCCGTCCGGCTTGTCTCCCTTTGTCTCTCTTCTTGTTGGTCACTGTGTCCGCCTT